CCTCCACCGTGAAGTCCTCGCAGGTGGGAAGGGCGCCACAAAACGGGCGACGCCTAGACCACGCCGACCCGAAGACGTCCATGGCCAGGAGTCCATAAGCCCAACAGAGCCAACAAAACGAATCGGCGACGACTGGCCAACCCACGAAGAGGAATGAACCGAGACAGCTGTCCACCAGGACGCAGGACACACCCCGGACACGAACCACACGGTTAACCAAACCCCCTGTGGTTCCGGCAAGAACCACCAGAGAACAGTCCAAACAGAGCTGAACGGTAGAGTACCTAGTGACCCAAACCCTCCGAAGCGCAAACCAGACAGCCATGAACACCTGAACCGGGCTGTGAGCCCGACGGACAGACAGACTCCATCAACCTCGGCCGACCTGGTGAGCACAGGTCACAAAGCCCCAGCCGAGAGACGACCCGTCCGTGAACACATCGAGCGAAGGCTCGGGGAGCCGCCAAGGCACGGAACCCCGAAAACCCCAAAGAGGAAGCTGGTGACGCAGCACCAACACCAGATCCCCAGAGGAACCCAAGGAATGCAAGAGGCGGAAGTGGAGTCTCCGTAGGAACCAACCGACGCCGGAGCCAAACCCGACTCCGCGGGCAGACAAGCACGCCAAAGTGCAAACTCCCGCACAACCGCCCAAGCAACCGCTGAGCAACCCGGGACCCCCTCCTGAACCGCCAAAGGCGGGACCACAGCCACAGTAACACTTCTGGAGGGAAGACAATGAGGGGCCCAAGAGCCTGAAACAAGGCCCAGGTCCGAACCCGGGACGGAAACAGAAGGTAAAACCTCCAGATCACCAGGAAACCAAACCCAGCGATCTGGAAAGAACCATCCCCTGGCGAGCAGACAAGCGGACTGACTGGGAGCCCACTCCAGCCAGTCGTCGAGGTAGGCCAGACACCGAATCTCAGACGCAGACAGGGCACTAAGATCCGGTAAAGATGCAAAGAGTATACAAAGTGCCCTTCACAAAATAGGGAATGCAATAAAAACAGCAAACCTGAAGCCCCACCACCAAAGCATTGTATGACAATCATATTAAGACATATTATGACATTTATTATCAAAGCATTATATGACAAAGAGTGCTGGGAAGACGGGACACCACGAGAGTAGCTCTCATCCTGTAACTACACTTAGGTAAGTACACATAGGTAATTACCAACCGTGCTAGCCCCAGAAAAACTGGAGAGGAACGTGCCAAGAAGTGACCTGGAGGTCCAGGTCCACCAACCATGCACCCGGCCCTAACAGAATCCAAACAGGAGACAACAGTCCTCCGAGCAGGGCAGAGGATCCAGGGCGCAGACGGAAGTAGTCCAGAAGAACTGCTGACTGGAAAAGCTCATGACTGCAAAGAGCAGACGGGAAAAGCTCATGACTGCAAAGAGCAGACGGGAAGCCCAGAAGGATGGGGCGGATCGACCACGCCCCACGCACCCACGAAGAGGAAATGACGAAGCGCAGGGAAGAAGCCCACCCCGCCAGCTCTGAACCCCCCCCAAGGGGGAGAAGCCGTCCTCCGACGCCAGCAGAGGCCGGAAGACAACCCAAAGCGCCCACCAACAGCGGGACCAAGCGAGAGGCAACAGAGCAAGCTGCTCCCCCAGCGCCCAGTCAACAGAGAAGGGAACAGAACCCCTTCAGAAAGAAAAAGTACACTACCGAAGTCATGAGGAGAGACTACGGGAATGAAACCACACTTCGCTGGAAGAGGAAGTGAGGGGAGACCTGATCACCACATACAAGATACCCAAGGGAATCGACAGGGTTGAGAAGGACAGGCTATGTAACACAAGGGGCACACGCACTAGGGGACACAGGTGGAAACTGAGTACCCAAAAGAGCCACAGATAAAATTAAAGTTTTTTTTTTTTTTTTTTTTTTTTTTTGAGTGTCAGAATGGGAACGGGAAAGCACTAAGAAGTAATGTGGCGACTCCTCACACAAGTAACGAGGCTGACCCCCATACAATGTCACATGTAGACATGACAGAGCCCAAGAGGCACAGGAACCGATACACCTGTTGACGGACGGTTGAGAGGCAGGACCAAGGAGCCAGAGCTCAACCCCCACAAGCACAACTAGGTGAGGACATATATTGTAAAAGCACAAGCCGCCGACTAGTGGCAAAGAGCACTATGCCGGCCAGGCAAAGAAGGCACAAAACTGCATCAAAAGGCCCACCTCGACAGCAAAACCACAAAGTCCCAGCACAACCACAACATGTGCCAAGACCCAAAAAGCTCAGTCTGCAAGCCAGGAAGACCCCAGAACCCCAAAAGGCAGAACCGGGTCACACGAGGAAACAAAGTCCCCTGAACCCACAAAAGGGGGCCCAAGAGGAAGAAACCTCCAGAACGAAACCAAGGAACCCAAAGGAACCCAGAATCGAACCAGGGGGAGCCCAAACCACCACATTTGCCGGCGGAGAACACCACTAAAAGGCAAAGCACAGACCCCAGCAGAACGCCCTGGGAAAACGGTCCCAACAGACCGAAAACCGAGGGGCAAGGTGTGGGAGCAAGCATACCAGCCAGGGGCACTGAGCCTAAACCCAGAGGCTCAGACCCAAAATCAACACCCAAACGTTCCCAGAGGAACAGGCAACGGCAAGAAAACACCAGAAAAACAAAGAAACGACAACAGGAGAACAAAAACCCTGCAAATTTTTTGAAAACTCACCAGAGACGCTCGCTCGCACACCCAGACGCATGTAAACAAACCGCAACGCCGCCCTGGTGGCCACGCCGGGAAACCGGCAGACGAAAATGGCCGCCAGCAGGGGCTGTGACTGACGCTTAATACACAAAAACACGCCAGCAAATGTGGGAAGCTAGCAGACTGGAAGGGCGAAAAACGACGCCCAACAGCAGAAAAACCCCTGAAGGGGCAAAACCGCCCCAGAACTGCTAGCAGGCAACCCCCACAGCCCCGGGAACCAACAACAGAGGCCCCGGGGCAGAGCCGTCCTCCAAGCCCTCCGCCCTTAAAGAAAAGCAAGAGCCCATGGGAAAGGCAACAAGAAAGGGCCGCTGGTAAGACCCAGAAGCCTTGGCAGGAGGCACAGGCTCAAACCTCCGTCCCCAACCCGAACGGGGCATCCCCCGAAAACCGCCCGAGTCTCTGCCGCAGCTGAACCCCGCCCCGACCCCGAAACCCGCAGACGGTCCGGAGCCGGGAACATGGAGAGAAAGGGGCGAGCAGCACCTAACCAAACGGGACGGCCACGGGGCATTCGAGTGGGAAACCAACCTAGCATGTTGCAGCAACCTAACCTAGCTTGCAACACGGATGCCGCCTGTACTCTGAACAGTAATAACATCAGGAGAGTACTGGAGAACAAGCAGAGAATCACTCGCAAGACTCCGGGTCAAGGTGTCAGTGACCCAACAGGCAGCATGACGGAGGTAAAAATGGCGACTGTCACCCGGAGACAAGGGAACAGCAACCAACGATCCCGTTCAAGACGGGTTGGAACCCGGAAGACACATTCAATGGTCCCCCGAGCCCAGACGGGTTTCCAGGGCCCGTAGGGTAACAACTACGGGAAGCCCGGGCAAGGTGTTGCTAACCGGTGAAGAAACCCAAACATAACAAGAGGGTAGATTATAGCACTGAAAACCCCTGAGACGTGTACAAGCACGGGGGCCTAGCAGAGGGCCGCCAAACACTACCAGTGGAACTATAACCACCTTAGGCAGACCCCCACCAGGCAAGAAAATGAAAAACAAAAGAAAAACCCCGCAAAAGTACACCGTCTCCAGAGGCAACAGAAACCGGCCGCCGCTTAGGTGGCAGGCTGCGCAACACCTTGACGCCCTAACCAGCACAATACCAATCCCTACCCAGGGCCAAACAAGGGCCCCAAGCCCCAGCTGGCCCCAAGGGCGAGGCAAATGCCGAGCAGCAAGAACCTCTACGGGAATGGTTCCCGAACGCCCCAGGGAAGATAACCCTGTAACGCAAGGGCAGTACTCACAGGGCGCTTAGGGAAGTCAGCCACTAAGCACATGCAGCCCCGGCACTGATGAAGTACTCCTGGCCACCGCACACCACAACACACGGCAGTGAACGCCACACAAGGCAAACACCGCCTAGGAAACTGAGGCCAGAGAAGCGTCAATCCCGGTTGACATTAGCGAACGAACTGGAGCTTGGCAGCCGGCGCGGTAGGTCCGGGGCTCCCCCCTCCCCCTCCCGGGGTGGGGAGGGCTGCGCGGACGATCGGCGCGGCAGTAAAGTGTGATGTTTGCTTGTTTGCTTGTTTCCTTGGGATTGTAGGGAGTTTTCTACCTCTCTGTTCGGTTTTTGTTGTAGTGTCTTACCATGTGGGGTTTGTTTTGTTACGCCTACCTTTCTGGGTGCCTAACCCCGGTCGATGGCAGATAAGGAAAACCCCCAACCATATGGGGTTTTCCAGGGCCATTGCTCCCTGAAACCTCTCTGAAGGGGCCAGGTTCTGGCGCTGGTCCCTGGTAGGTCTGAACTCCTTAGCTAATGTCCCGGTCTAACATAACACACATTAGCCCGATAAGCTCCAGGGAGCCGTAGGGGCTCCCCACAGAAAAGTTGTTTGACTGTTTCAATGCTTTGTTTCCTATGAACCTTACAGTTGTCTGTAAAGCTTCACTGACTATGGATGCTTTCCTGGTGAGATTAACTTAGTGTTGGTGCCAAGGATCAATGTCCCCATGGCCCAATCTATGACTAGGCTTCCTGGTTAGTGGTCTGGTCAGTCAGGCTGTTAGGCATAGCTGCTTGCAGCCTGATATTTAAGTTTCCTGTTCCCTGTACCGCTGTGAAAGGGATGGGGGTCCAGGTTTTAGCTCTGGTCTGCAATAGACCAAACAGGATTGATGTGACCCAATAGTTGAGAGCCATCTAAGCAAAATTTCTACAGGGAGCACCCAAAGGGGTCTGCCTAAAAAAAGCGGGTGTTATAGGTGTTATAATCTTTACACCAAAACTATATTTCACAGGTGAACTTCACTATGGATCTATGTTCAATGTTCTGAACGATGATACTCACCACATAATCCTTGAGAAAAGTGTTCCAAACATCAGGATGAACACCCTTCTTCAGGTATCAACATTTTGGTTATTCTAATCATTCATTAGTTCAAGAAATATAAATTAATTTTATATTTTCTTGGAAAAATTAAAATGTGAATATTTAATGAAAATATTTGCTCTTCATAATAGGTACTTGTATTAACAGGTTAAAAATTTATGACCGTTTATACATTCCAATTATTCTGCCAAGGTTTGATGGCTAATACGTACAGTATATTTAAACCTATTCTTATAACCTAAGATTCACTGCTCACCTTGTAACTTGAGATTAACTACTAATTCATTAATTTTCCGAATCCCTATGCCTTCTAGTGGCTTTCCAAGACAGTTCCATTTAATCACCCAAACCCGTAATAACACAACTATACATAAACATCTTGTAAATTAGGTGGAAAGGAATTAAAGAAACTCTAATAAAGAATGAGATGGAGGGATGGTTTTGGATAGTAAACTGCCGCCAAAGGAACACACACAAAGAACATTATGTGAGGAGCATATGCATTGCTTTCCAACTTCAGACTTCCTTTTGATCATATGGTTGGTGAAATATTAAAAAAACTGTTCATGACATTTAAGAGACCAAAATTGGAATATGCAGCAGTTGTATGGTGCCCAAATCTCAAGAAGCACATAAATAAACTGGAAAAGGTGCAATGGCATGCTACAAAATGACTTGGAACTGAAAAATAAGAGTTACGAGGAGAGACTAGAGGCGTTAACATATCAAAACTAGAAGATAGAAGACAAGAAGGTGATATGATCACCACTTACAAAATACTAACAGGAATCGAGCAAATTGACAGAGGAATTCCCAAAACCAGCAACTTCACAAACAAGAGAACACAGATTCAAGAAAAAGAAACAAAGGTGCCAAAAAAATATGAAAGTTTACTTTTGCAAACAGTGGTAGATGGTTAGAACAAGTTAGGTGAGAAGGTGGTGGAGGCCAAAACCATCAGTAGTTCAAAGCGTTATACAACAAAGAGTACTGGGAAGAAAGGACACCACGAGCATAGCTCTCATCCTGCAACTTCACTTAGGTAATTACTTAGGCAGTTACACATGATCTGGTAGCTGAGTGGACAGTGCCCAGGATACGTAATCATAGGGTCTGGGGATCGATCCCCGGTGATGGCAGAAACAAATGGGCAGAGTTTATTTCACCCTGATGCTCCATTTCCCCTAGCAGTAAATAGGTACCTGGGAGTTTAATGTTACAGGCTGCTTCCTGGGTGTGTAATTACCTAAGTGTAGTTACAGGATGAGAGCTATGCTTGTGGTGTCCCGTCTCCCCAGCACTCTTTGTCATATAATGCTTTGAAATTACTGAAGGTCTTGCCCTCCACCACCATCTCACCTAACTAGTTCCAACCATCTACCACCCTGTTTACAAAAGTATATTTTCTTATATTTCTCTGGCAGCTCTGTTTCGTTAGTTTAAATCTATGACCTATTGTTCTTGAGGTTCCGGGTCTCAGGAATTCTTCCCTATCAATTTTATCGATTCCTGTTACTATTTTGAACATAGTGATCATATCGTCTCTTTTTCTTCTATCTTCTAGTTTTTGCATATTTAATGTCTCTAACCTCTCCTCATAGCTCTTGTCCTTCAGTTCTGGAAGCCACTTCTAGTTTTTGCATACAGTATTTAATGCCTCTAACCTCTCCTCGTAGCTCTTGTCCTTCAGTTCTGGAAGCCACTCAATGGCATGTCTTTGCATCTTTTCCAGTTTGTTGATGTGCTTCTTAACACTTTCGCCCGGGCATGACGCAGCATTGCGTCATCCGTTTACTGTCGGTAATGCCGGGGATGACGCAGCATTGCGTCATCCACTTTAAATAATCACCAAAAATCAGGTTTTTATACAATTTTTTGGGGACTAGTTTTAAAATGCGCGCCGATGTCCTCCCATTTTCTTTGTTGAGCCTCGTGGCCCTCAGGCTGCTTGGCACACGCCGTGGGCCCATTGTTTTCGCTCCACTGTTGTGACCAATGTCGCCTCCCCTCACATCTCAAACGTGTGAACATTTCGGCTATTTTCCATGGCTATATTTCTTACTGCGGCTTTAGAAACTATCTACGCTTACTCCACGATGGATAGTGATCATGAACAAGGCCCTTCCAGGAAGAAAATTGCGAAAGAAAGGCTTGAAAAGGGCGGGAATTGGGAGTGTAGTTGGAAGGCGTCTGAGCGCTCACTCGCGGCTAACGCATGGCCCGTCTTCAACTCGTCGGCGGTTGGAGCGTGACCAGGTTTTTTATTTTATATGCTAATGTTCCTCTAGAGAATTCTATTGTGAACCCATTGAGACCAAAATGAAAGACCTAGGACGAAAATTGATGTGACCAGAGTGAAAATAGTGAAAACATTTTATCACTTGCGCTCTCCTGGGTAACTCGTTCGCACTTTCTCTGTTTGCTGTGGGTAATTGGCCGGGCTTTTGGAGTTTATATGCATTTAGTGTTGTAGAGAATTCTATTGCGAACACAATGATACCAAATTTAATCTCGTAGGACGAGAATTTAGGTGACAAAGTTGAAGAGAGTATACACTTTTCAGAATTTACGCGCGCTCCCATGACACCCTGGGACCCAAATCACACAGTTGAGGGGTGACGCGCGGGGTACGCAAAAGTGTTAAGATATGGTCATCATACAACCACTGCATATTCCAGCTTTGGTCTAACAAAAGTCGTGAACAATTCCTTTAGTATTTCTCCATCCATGTATTTAAAAGCAAATTTAAAGTTAGAAAGTGTAGCATAGGCTCCTCGCACAATGTTCTTAATGTGATCTTCAGGTGACAGTTTTCTATCTAGAACCACACCTAGATCCCTTTCTAAAGATTTATCGCGTAATTTATAGGTTGTGTGGGGTCTATGTCCTCCAATTCCACATTCCATAACATGGCATTTATTCACATTAAATTCCATTTGCCAAGTGTTGCTCCATATACTTATTTTGTCCAGGTCTTCTTGAATGGCATGGCAATCATATATGTTTATCGTCCCTATTAACATCATCAGCAAAATGTTAATATAATTCTGTATTCGAACTAATAGATCGTTTACGTAGACAATTAACATTACTGGTGCAAGAACTGAACCCTGTGGTACTCCCCTTGTGACATTCCTCCAATCCGATACATAGCCTCTGATTACGGCCCTCATTTTTTGTCAGTTAGGAAAATTTCATCCATGTTAGAGGCTTACCTGTCACCCCACCACTATGTTCCAGTTTCCAGAACAACCTCTTATGTGGAACTCTGTCAAAAGCCTTCTTTAAGTCCAGATATATGCAGTAAACCCAACCATCTCTTTCCTGTAAAATCCCTGTGGCTCGATCATAGAAACTGAGTAAATTCATTACACAGGATCTCGCAGATCGAAAACCATACTGTCTGTCTGATATTAAATAATTTTTATCCAGGTGTTCTACCCATTTAGTTTTAATTATTTTTTTTTCCAATATTTTGACTGTTACACTCGTCAATGATACAGGTCTATAATTGAGGGGGTTCCTGCTGCCACTTTTGTAGACTGGAACTATGTTAGCTTTTTTCCACACATCAGCTACAACTCCTGTACACAGGGATGCCTGAAAAATTAGTTGAAGTGGAATGCTGAGCTCAGGTGCACATTCTCTCAGGACCCATGGTGAAATTCCAACTGGACCAACTGCTTTGTTCTTACTTAGCTCCTTGAGCCTTTTCTGGGGGGAGTCCATACGGCTTCCCGGAGCTTATCCAGACTGATATGCTTATGTCAGTCATGTGTATGGAGTTCTGTGGGCCTACCGGGAACCATGAGCCAGAACCTGGCCTCAGAGAGGCACGGGGAGCAATGGCCTATAGAAACCCCCGTGTGGTTGGAAGCATTCTGTGTCTGCCATCGACCGGGTCAGGCACCCAGAAAGGTAAGCGTTCCAAAACAAGCCCCTATTCTGGTGAAAATTGCTACCAATAGCCGAACACAAGGATAGAACTCCCCAAAAAGAAACGAGCAAACGAGCATGATGTCACACATCGTCGCACCGCTGCCTGCTCAGCTCCTCACTCCCCAGTAAGGGAAAGGAGCAGCCCCCAGATCCCCGTGCCGGCTATCCACACATCAGTTCTAAGGCTGATGCTAGAGGCAGAGGTCGTGTGCTCTGGTTCCAGTGATTTTTCAGCACTACTTCGAGTGTGGTGGCTGTCTTCTAGGGGTGCGAGAACCAGGAATTATTCTACAGTATTTGGGCTGCTTGAGCCTAGGGTTACCTTTCCTAGGTGCCCTGTAAGTTCTGCCCTTGGGGCTTGGGATTACCTTCCACAAGTTCCTTGGGTCCTGCCTCTGCTGGGCTGTTTAACTGCTTCGTTTATCGGCTGCCCTTTGGGTGCTTGGGTGTTTTGTCTCCCTTATTTACCTTAGGGTAAGAGGCAGTTTGCACTGGGCACAAGGTGCTGAGCAGCTTGTTTTCACCATTCATAGCGGCCGGCTCTGTTCCTTTGGGTACATTGCGGGGTCTTGTTTTTCTTTTTGTTTGTGCCTTGTGTCCCGTACCAGTTTGCACTGGTATGGGGCACAAGGTGCTGAGCAGCTTGTTTTCACCATTCATAGCAGCCGGCTCTGTTCCTTTGGGTACGTTGTGGGGTCTTGTTTTTCTTTGTTTGTGCCTTGTGTGGGAGTCTGCCCTGCTTGCCCCTTGGCATCTGACCTAATACGGTTTTCTTCTGTTGGTGCCCCCTGCTAGGCCCCTGTGAGTGTACACATCCCTGAGGTTCAGCTTTAGAAAGTTGCTTGGTAGTTTTGGTCGCAGGTTAGCAGTACCCTGCCTGGGATTCCCTGAGCATGAGTTCCGTCTCAGGATCCTGGGAAACCCCACAGGGGCACGTGGGTCCGATGGATGTGACCCTGGAGTCCCCCCCCCCTCCCCTCCCCCGCTTCGTGCGAGTTGCTCGGTCCCCCTTGTCTCAGGTGACACTCTCTGTTTTTGCCTCCGTCACACTGCCTGTTGGGTTGGGGACACTT